CTCTACACCTTGTTATCTCAGATTCTCCAGCATCGGCAGTTCCTACTAGATCAGAATTGAATGCAGTTTTCCAAAAGTGGCCTCACCAATGTCCTGTACAGCCGCACCATAATGTCCCAACTCCTATACTCAATGCACTGACCAATTAGCAAGTGTGCCAAATGCCTTCTTCACCACCCTGTCTATCTGCAACTCAACTTTCAAGGAACTATGCACCTGCACCTCTCTTTGTTCAGCAACACTTTCTAGGGCCCTACCATTACTTGTGTAAATCCTACCATGCTTTGACTTACTAAAATATAACACCTCACATTTATTGAAATTAAACTCCATCTGCCACTCCTTGGCCCATTGGCCCATCTGATCAAGGTCCTGTTGTACTCTGAGATAACCTTCTTCACCGTGCACTACACCACCAATTTTGGTATCATCTGCAAGCTTACTAAGTATACCTCTTATCTTCACATCAAAATCATTTACATAAATGACAAAAACCAGCACCGATCCTTGTGGCACACCGTTGGACACAGGCCTCCAGTCTAAAAAGCAACTCTCCATCACCACCCTCTGTATCTTACCTTCAAGCCAATTTTGTATCCAATCCTAACCAGACTACCATACAGAATCTTTTCGAATGCCTGGCTAAAGTCCATATAGACAACGTCCACCGCTCTGCCTTCATCAATCTTCTTTGTCACTTCTTCAAAAACTCAATCAAGTTAGTGAGACACGGTTTCCCCTGCACAAAGGCATTCTAACTATCCCTAATCAGTCCTTGCCTTTCCAAATGCAATTAAATCCTGTGCCTCAGAATCTCCTCCAACAACTTACCCACCACTGATGTCAAGCTCACCGGGTCTGTAGTTTCCTGGCTTTTCCTTACTACCTTTCTTAAATAATGGCATCACATTAGCCAACCTCCAGTCTTCTGGCACCTCACCCATGGCTGTCAATGACATAAATATCTCAGTAAGAGGCCTGGCAATCTCTTCCATAGTTTCCCACAAAGTTCTGGGATACACCATTAGTTCAGAACTCTCCAATCCTAGAGAAAAGATCTTTGCTATTCACATTATCTATGGCCCTCATAATTTATGAACATCTGTAATGTCACCCCTCAATCTCCTACGCTCCAGTAAAAAATGTCCCAGCCAACATTTTTCCCTGGATTGTTGGAGATTGAGCGGTGACCTTATAGACGTTGATAAAATGAGGAGCATAGAAAAGGTGAATAGCCAAGGTCTTTTCCCCAGGGTAGGGGAGTCCAAACTGGAGGCTATAGGTTTAAGGTGAGAGGGGAAGATTTAAAAGGGACCTGAGGGGCAACCTTTTCACAGACAGGATAGTGTGTGTATGGAATGAGCTGCTAGAGGAGGTGGTAGAGATGAGTACAATGACAACATTTAAGAGACATTTGGACAGTTACATGGATAGGAAAGGTTTGGAGGGATATGGGCCAAATACAGGTGAATGGGACTAGTTTAGTTTAGGAAACCTGGTTAGCATGGATGAGTTGGTTCAAAGGGCCTGTTTCCACGCTGTATGACTTAATGACATAATATGCTCACCATCACTGCCCAAACACTATGTTACATTACTATCCAAATCCTAAACAGCACTGTTCCAAAGTCTTCACCACAAACTTTGTCTATTCAAACATTCAGGGAGCAATTCATTTATTTATTCAAGAGTGCTGTGGTTAAAGGCACACTTTGTGTTTACTGATGCCATATACTGAGTTATTTTGCTTGGCAGTGGGGTTGTCTGACTTTTTCTTTCATTCATAGAGGTAGAGCAAAGCGGCAGGTCCCAAAACTTGGCTGGAATGGGAATTGAACTAGTGTGAAGATTGCATTATTTCGTACCACAGACTAGCCATCTGAGCTAACTGGTCCATTCAGTGAATGGCAGGATAGTAGCAATGCAGAGTTGGAATAATGCTTCAGAGGTATGAGTTCAAATCCTCCATAGACATTGGGAACTTAAACCTAAATTAATAAATAAATATGCAACAAAAGGGTGATCTCAGAAATGATGATTGTGAATCAACCAGACTGTTGTTGAAAGCCACCTGATTCACTAATGCCCATTAGGGTATTGATCCTGATTGATTTTGGGTCTACATGTGACTCCAGACCCACAATGCAAATGACTCTTAACTGTGTTGTAAAATAGCATTGGCCTAGACACTGGAAATAAAATGGCACAACTTGTCCATCCAACCCTGCAAAGACATCCTTAATAATGTATCGGCAAAATTGGGAGAGCTGTCCTGCAAATTAGTCAAGCAAATGCCTGACATAATCATCAAATAATATGTTAAAGCCAATATCTGAAACTCCTCCAACACAATTGCTGTGTATGCTATGTTTCAATACAGAAGAACAGAGGTGGCAGCAGAGTGGTATACAGTTGGGAGGGTCCCCAGCATCACAGATGCCAGTCTACAGCCAATTCATGTCACCCCACACAATATGAAGAAACAGCTGTACACACTGGATACACCAAAGGCTGCAGGTCTTGACAACATCCTGGCTGTAATTCTGAATATTTATGCTCCATAACTTGCTGTACCAATAACCAAGTTGTTCATGCACAGCTACAACATTAACCTGAATATAAAAGATTAATCAGGTAATCCTTCCTCTAGGTTTAACATGATCTGGCCAATTGCTATCACATAAATCTAATCTCAATTATCAGGAAAGTGATAGAATCGACAGTACAATAATATGACAGCAATTCAACAGTAACGACCAGTGTTCATTTTGGGTTCCATATGAATATAAAAAAAAGGCTCCACTATTCAATAATATTGTTGAGAATCTGACCATGGTTTTAACTCTACTTTCTTGTCTGCTTACATAACCCTAAGCTGCCTTTTAAATCAAAAATCTAACTGACAGGGCCACTTGGTTCCGGACCTCACTTGTGCAAATATATGACATGAGGATGACTGCGCTTCACATCAGGGCAGGAACTGGCTCAGTATAATAACAAACATCCCTGGGAAAATTGAAGTTAATGGCACTGGGGGGAAAACTGTCCACTGTTAAACTGAGACAACAAGGTGCAGGGCTGGATGAACACAGCAGGCCAAGCAGCATCATAGGAGCAGAGAGGCTTAGCCTCTCTGCTCCTATGATGCTGCGTTCATCCAGCCCTGCACCTTGTTGTCTCGGATTCTCCAGCATCTGCAGTTCCTACTATCACTGTTAAACTGATACTAACCAAAGAAGGACAATTGTAATTGCTCATGACCAATCATCTCAGCACAAGGACACCTCTGCAGGAGTTCATCTGGAAAGAATTCTAGGCCCAAATATCTTCAATTGCTTTATTAATTACCTTTCCTGCATCATTTTTTAATTCATTCACAGGATAAGGGTGTCACTGGCTAGGCAGCATTTATTGCCTAACCCGAATTGTCCTGAGGGCAGTTAAGAGTCAACCACATTGCTGTGGGTCTGGAGTCACATGTAGGCCAGACCAGGTAAGGATAGCAGTTTCCTTCTCTAAAGGACATTAGGGCTTTTCCCAACAATCAACAATGGAGTCACAGTCATCATTAGACTTGTAATTCCAGCTATTTATTGAATACAAATTCCACCATCTGCTATGGTGGGGTTTGAACCTGGGTCCCCAGAACATTATCTGGGTCTCTGAATTAACAGTCCAGTGATAATACCACTAGGCCATTGTCTCCCCTGAGGTTAGATGTGGTTGATTATATTGATGATTGCACAGAGTTCAGTTGTACCATTTGCAACTTCATGGATGCTGAAGCCAACTGTGGTGGCATACAGCAAGTTTAGATAACATTCAGGTTTCAACCAATAAGTGGCTAGTAATATTTGTGATACACAGATCTTCTCCAAAACTGGTTAATCTAACCATCACTGTTTGAGAGTCAATGGTATTAACTTTGTAAAATCTCCCATTGACTGCCTGGGCTTACCACTGACCATAAACTGACTGGAACAGCCATATAAGTCCAGTGGCTACAACAGTAAGTCAAACGGTGAGGATTCTGCAGAGCGTTACTCACCTCTTGAATCCACAAACCCCTTCTACCCTCCATAAGACAAAAGTCAGAAGGTTGAATATTTCTCACTTGCCTGGATGCGTGCAGCTCCAACAACATTCAAGAAGCTTGAAACGATCCAGTTTAAAACAACATGATTGGGCCTACATCCACCACCTTCAAGACTCAGTCCCTGCGCTACTCGCAGATGGTGACGACAGTGTGTACCACATACATCATGCACTGCAGCACCTCAATAAGGCTTCTTCGACAGCATCTTGCAAAACCCACCGCCTGTATCATGTAGAAAAACAGGGCAGCAAGTGCATGGAAACACCACTGGCACTACTATCGCCATTCCTTACTGTTTCTAGGTCAGAATCTTGGAACTCACTTCCTAACACCACTGGGAGTGTCTCTGTACCATGTGTACTGTAGTGGCTCAAGATGATAGCTCGCCACACATCCAAAAGAACAATTGACAATCAGCATACTGCCCTTACCAGTGATACTCACATCCCATGAAGGCAGTTATGGAGAAGGATAGGTAGATAGGTGGAGGGAGAGGTGACACTGAGGAAGTGGGAAAGCTGCAGAAGGGCTTGGACAGGATAGGAGAGTATGCAAATAAGTGGTAGATAGATTACAATGTCGGAAAATGTGAGGTTATGTACTTTGACTACGCACTTTAGAATAGAGGTGTAGACTATTTTCTCAATGGAGAAAGGTTTTGGAAATCTAAAACACAAGGGGACTTAGGAGTCCTAATTCAGGATTCATTTAAGGTTAACATGTACTCTTAGTTGGCAATTGCAAAGACAAATGCAATGTTAGCACTCATTACAAGAGGGCTAGAATACAAGAGCAGAGATGTACTGCTGAGGCTGTATCAAGCTCTGGTCAGACTGCAACTGGAATATTGAGCAGTTTTGGACCTTGTATCTAAGGAAGGATGTGCTGGCCAAGTAGGGGCCCAGAGGAGGTCTACAAAAATGATCCTGGAGATGAAGGGCTTGTCATATGAGGAGCGGTTGAGGACTCTGGGTCTGTACTCACTGGAGTTTAGAAGGATGAAAGGAGATCTGATTAAAATTTACAGAATATTGAGAGGTCTGGATGGAGTGGGAGTGGAGAAGTTGTTTCCAGTAGTGGGAGAGACTCGGGCTCAAGGGCATAGCTTCAGAGTAAAGGGAGATCCTCGAGTAGTGGGATGAGAAGGAATTTCTTCAGCCAGAGGGTGGTTAATCTGTGGAGCTCATTGCTGCAGCAAGCTGTGGAATTCAATTGAGTATATTTAAGACAAAGATAGATAGGTTCTTGATTAGTAAGAGGATCAAGAGTAGTGGGGCGAAGGCGGGAGAATGGGGTTGAGAAACATATCGGCCATGATCTAATGACGGAGCAGACTGGATTGGCCTAATTTTGCTCCTGTATCTTATGGTCTAATGAAACAATAAAAAAAAGGCAGATTGAAAAAAAATGTTGTTGCATTCAACTTCCTGCAGAAACAAAACAGCATTTACGCTCTCAAAGTCTCATCTTCTTGGAAGCAAACACATTAAGAATACAGTGAGAACTCTCCATGTGATCTACAATATTTAGCAAAGACTCTGCAACTGTCTAAATGACTGAATGAGACATCACATCGATGACAATTCCCATTGTGTCGTGGATATGTGTACCTTTCTCTCATTGGCTTCAAGAGTCATAGTGGGTGGATCCACAAGGTAGGTGACAGCTTTTATGTCATGCTGAAAACAGAAGGAAACCTCAGCCACCATGGGTGAAGTATTCACTATTATGATATTTTCCCTGTTTTCTGGGTATTGACCCTCCTTGTACCTAAAATCAGAAAAAAAACTTTAATTATAACAATTCCTATGACCCTTACAACTGATTGGGTCACTTTTTCCCCTTTTTTAATATTTTTACTTTCTTACGCACTCCTGCGCCCAAAGGTTCTGAGGTATCGATTCCTTAGAAATGCGTACCTTCAGTAGCATGATTTGTGTGATTCTGGATGGTAAGGATAGTCAGTTTACTCAACCATGGAAGGCACCTTGGAATAAAAGGAACAGGTACAGACAATTCTGCCACTTGGCCATTTTCTATTATTCATTTGATCATTGGCTAATCTATATTGTAATATATTCACTTAGCTTTATCTGTAACAATCAAAATACTCACCTAATGAAAATATCAATTTTATATTTGATGGTTTCAATTAACCTAACTTCATTTGCTGTCCAACAGAGAGGTCCATGTTTCCACTGCCATTTGCATAAAGACAGCAGAAGAAATAGGAGCATACTAGTTCATTGATGTCCTTTGGGGAAGGGAACTGCCATCCTTACCTGGTCTGGCCTACATGTGACTCCAGACCCACAGCATTGTGATTGATTCTTAACTGTCCTCTGGGCAATTAGGGAAGGGCAATAAATGCTGCTTAGCCTGTGATGCCCTCATCCTATGAATGAATTAACAAAAAATTCCTAACACACAATACAACTGCTGAATAACCTAGCATTAATATTAGTTTCACCCCCTTGCCCTACAATCCCCACTTGGGAAATGAATTTCTCTCATTGAATCCTTTAATCACTTTAAATGTCTCAGCTAGATACCCTTAATTTATACAGCCATGTGACTACTGTTGTTACAAAAGCAGTCCACAGATTTGGAAACTTGCAGCGAGTAACTGACCTCCTGTCTCTCCAGAGTTTGTCCACTATCCTCAAATCAGGAGTGTGATGGAACATTCTCCACTGGTCTGAAAGAGTGCAGCTCCGACAAAACTCAGAAGCTCAACACCATTCTGGACAAAGCAACCTGCTTAATCAGCAGCCAGTCCATCATCTTAAGGAAGCACTGTCTTCACCAGAAACACATTGTGGTAGTGGTTTGTACTATCTACGAAGTGCACTACAGTAACTTATCAAGGCTCCTTCAACGTAACCTTCTAAATCCCGAAAGAAAAGATGATGTTATCAGGTACATGGCAACATCATCACCTGTAAGTCACCCTACAAGACACATAGCATCCTGAGCCAAAACAGAAATTGCTGGAAAAGCTCAGCAGAGCTTTTCCAGTAATTTCTGTTTTTGTTTCTGATTTAAAGCATCAGTTTTTACATACCTTCCTGACTTGGAAATATATTGCCACTTTTTGTTGAGACTGGGTCAAAATCATGGAACTCCCACCTCGACCTATGCCACATGAACTACCGTACATTAAGAGACAGCTCATCACCTCCATCCCAGTGGCATTTCGGATGAAGCAACAGAAACTCTCCCTGATAGCATATCTCATGTAACCCAAATGAAGAAAGAATCTCAGTGGAAATCCGACCTCATCTACAAAACCTGTCCTCATAATTTTGCAGAATTAACACCATTTCCAAGGTCAATATGAATTGCACCCAAGCCTGATTTTACGCTCTCCCAATTAATCTGTCTGCTTTTCAAAAAGCAGAAAATTTTTAAATTAATTCTGAGGATGTTGGTATCACTGATAGTGCCAATATTTATTGGCCATCTTTAATTCCTCTGGACTGAGTTCAACATCAAGGATAGTGAATGTTTTTTCCTCCACAGGGACATTAAGAGGATTAAACTGTTACTGACAAGAACATAAAGAACATGAGAAATAGGAGCAGGAGTAAACCACACAGCATGTCAGATGTGTCCCACCATTCGAGATGATTGACTGATTATCTCCTCATCTGCACCTTGCCATTCATTATCCATGTCCCTCGATTTGCCAAGAGATTAAAAAATCTATCTAAGTTGGCCTTAAATATATTTAACAATGGAATATTCACAACTGTCTGGAATAGAGGATTCCAAAGATTCTCTATTGAGTCTTGCCAAGGACCCATCGTCTTCCAGGACTCACCACATGAAAACAAACTAATGTCCCTATTTTTTCCTGAGTTATTTAATGAGGTGCTCTGGAGATTATTCTTTATTTTCCAGGGCGATCCAGGAGAGTTAGCAAGCTTAGCTCCTGATTAACAGTTGTACTGTTTCACTCTATTACTTGCCTTTCCCTTGTTAGTCCACAGAGCAGTGGCCCAAACTGAAATACTCCTGTGTTCATGATGTACTTCTTCTGAGGAATTTCTTCTGCCTTTACGTTCTTCTTCCGATGTCGAAAGACAACACTGGGAAATAAAGAGAAGAAAAAGACAGCTGGCATACAAGGCAGAAGTTCCAGCTAGCAGAAATTAGGTTGGCTGTCTAAGAGATACCTACTGTCACAGAACCCTGGGATTACTTTGTGCAACATTATCAATTGCTTTTATGAAGCTTCACCTGTTATTTTGACGGGCATCAGCCATTTCCAAATCAGTACTTTTCTTTCTCGTGACATCTTTGCAAAAGTAATTATTAAGTATTTCTAGTATTTTCCATTTATCACAAATTATTCCACCACTCTTATCACTTAGGAGGTTTTTCTGTAATGATTCTTTCACTGTTTAACACATCTTGCTTTCCACTTATGATGACCACTTTGACTTAGCCAGTCAGCATAGTTCCATAACCCTCCCCACTAAGTTCCCTTCTTCTTTGCCTTTGGGCGAAAAAAAACCTTACATTTATATAGCATCTTTTATAGCCTCAAGAAATGTTGATTTTAAGGTATTCTAAAAAGAGGAAAGAGGTTAGATAGGCAAAGTTTAAGGACAGCATTTCAGAGCTTAGATTCTAGGCAATTGAAGGCACAGCCAGCAAAGTTAGAGTAATTAAAATCAGGGATGTTCAAGACATTTAAAAATTATTATCCCAATTGTAAACCCCAATCTGCAAGTGTCTACACTTCAAAAGCACTTCACTGGTTTTCCTAAGGGGAGGCCTGCTTATTCACCACTGCCGCTTGAATTGGCAAATTACCCAGATGTTGTTGTATGTGAACTACCTTGACCTCTACTGAAGCCTGACTCCAGTCCAAGTTAGAATCATGGATACGCTTTAGTAACTGAATTGCTTTTGGGAATGAGGATCTGAATTTACAACGTGACCCTAGTTGTTTAAATTGAGGTGAAATGCAAGGAAATTTGGTGCATCTACCTCTTTTTATTGATCGTAGAATCTGACTTAGTGGGTACCACATTAACGTCTTCCATCTAATGCTGCTGGTTACCCATGTGTTTAGGCTGGGCATCCCAGATAAAACACAAGCCTACTCTTCTTAAAGGTAGCATCCATGCTCTTGTTTAAAAGAAAGTAACAGTAAATGGCAGGAAAGTGAACACAAGGGCAGGAAGGGTTCCATGGTAGGCAGTGCACTGTTGGTGCCATTAGTGCTGGAAATGGAAACAGGAAAGACACCATAATCCTGCAGGGATCAGGAAACCCTCGACGACCACCCTCAAAGCATCATCCATATGCAACTGGACCGAAGGATAAGCAACGGTGCCACAATAAGTCTAATGACCACATATGGGTGACCAAGAACTGGTGGAATGCATTTTCTGGTGATATATCCTATACACCACTGTCACTCATGCTATTCAATACACTACACCAGTAGCACGTGTCCAACAGTACTTCCTGGAACTCAGAACTCAAGAATAATAACACCTTTTTGCATTTATATTGTACCTCAATGTTAAAAGAAAAATTACAGGCACTTCACAGAGTCAGTATAAAATAGAATGTGACATCAGGTCACATTAGGAAATATCGGGCAGATGATCAAACAGCATAGAGTCATAGAGGTCTACAGTATGGAAATGGGCCCTTTGTCCCAACATGCCCATGCTATCCAGTTTTCACAATTTAAACTAATCACATTTGCCTGCATTTGATCCATATCCCTCCATATCTATCTCATCCATTGTACCTGTCTAAATGTTTCTTAAATGACAAAATTGTATTGGCTTCCACCAATACCTCTGACAGCCCGTTCCAGACACTCACCCCTTTTGTGTGAAAAACTTGGCCCTTGGACTCTTTTGTATCTCTCCCCTCTCACCTTAAACCTACGTCCTCTAGTTTTAGACTCCAGTACCCTGGTGAAAAGCTGCCTGGTATCTACCTTATCTATGCCTCTCATGTTTTTATAGACATCTAATGGGGTCACCCATCAGCATATCCAAACTTTCCTTATAAATCAAACCTCCCAGTCTAGATAACATCCTAGTAAATCTGCGTTCTTTCTAGCTTAATAATACCTTAGAAATGTAGACTTTCAGGAGTTCTAAAAGGAGGAAGGAAGATCAGATAAGCAGAATTTAAGGCGAACATTCCAGAGCTTAGGTTCTACGCAAACAAAGGCACAGCAAGCGAGAGGTCAGAATTTGAGAAGCACACATATGTCCAGACATCTTACAATTGAAAAAGTTCTCTAAAATCAATTTGTTGGCAATTGGGTGCATAGTCCTATGAATAATACTGATACATGTCCAACAAGCTAAACCCTTGTTGTTGAGGGATAATTTACACATTTGCTTTTAAAAGTGTCTAAATTATAATCCCATGTGATGAGATCCTCACATCACATCAGCTGGTTAGGCAGTGTGACAATCCAAGGTTTTCAGTGAGCTCGAGCAACATCATTGTGCATGTTTTTGTCCTGACTGAATGGGGTCATGCAGAAACCACCCAAAAGCACAAGGCACCCAATAAAAGTGGTGACGAGCAAGAGAATTGCCAGACTTTTGATTCTTAAGGAATCAGAAAGTCTGGTGGACATTTTCAGTGAAGTTTCAAAGTAACAAGCAACCAAGTATTTCAATGAGGTGAAGATTCTACAAGACTTCTTCACTGTTTGCAGTAGTTCCTTCAAATTATTCTCTGCCAGGCTGGAATGGGGAAAAAAAATGGTTCAGGAATACTGGTCATGCTAAACCACCCCATTTACTTTCAGCAGAGCAAGAACTATCAAAATGATTATCTTTCCTACCATATGTCGAAAATTTTGGAACTTGTTTTGTGATATGTTCTGCAGACCCTTAGTAAACCCAAATGAAAGACAGAACATAACTTTTACTCATTCACAGGATGTGGTTGTCACCAACAAGACCAACAATGGTGCAACGCCAGATTAGTATGATTGGATATCATCAGAACTAACCAGAAAGTAGGGCATTATTACAAGAAAATCCAGGCTGTAAATAATGCTACAATTGGGTTGTTTTAAAAATGCACAATTTTATAATGGGCACCTGGTGGTGCAGCAGTAATGGTCCCTACCTCTGAACTAGGAGATCTAGGTTCAAGACCCACAGCCCTGAAGGTGTGCCATAACATGTTGAAAAAAGTTGATTAAAATAATTACATCCAAATAATTCTTGACACCAGTATGAGTGCTACAGTCTAAAACATGACCCTGCTACCTCTCTAACGAGAAAAAAATTCAAATAATTACAATACAAGCAAGTTATCTCATTAAGGAATTAAAATGTACAATCATGATCATGTTGCCATGCCGACTGTTCCAAAGTTCATGAATGCTGTCCCTGTAACACAAATCTTTCCTTTCACTTACAAAACCTACCAGGGATCTTGACTTATAGTTGGATATGTACAGACTCCTCTGCAGTACAATTTGTAACATCGTAGTGTGTTCAAGATTTCAAAGTTCAACGTCTGATCAAATATCCCACACACTGTTGAGCTAAAACGCACTCGTAATGCAACTTCCTCCCCAGGTTGCACGATCCAGCGGTAAGGAGGAATTCTGCAGGGCAGATGATGATGGTGGATCAGAGGAAGCATTCATAAAGGTCAGATGAGCCAAAGCATAACTTACAGCACAGCATATTCACTCAGACGATTTACTACACTGACCAGTTATTATAATTACCAGTTGTGGGTTGTCCCTAGTGTCCGAGGAAAAATGAGTAACCATGAATAGGAAATAGAAAAGAGGGTGGACCGTTCAGCCTGTTGACCTTGCTCTGCCATTTATGATGATCATGGCTGATTGAACACTTCCACACATTTATCTATACTATCCACATAACCCTTTATGCCATTAGTAATCAGCAATCTATCAACCTCTACCAGGTAAAGACTGAGCTTCCACAGCCCTCTGGCTGCGGTAGTGATTCCAAAGATTCCCAACCCTCCAAGTAAAAACAAATTCCTATCTCCTTACTGAACACAAATGGGCCATGCAGGAAACACCTGGAAGCCCAAGGGATCCAAAAAACATGGTAATGAGCGACAGAATTTTCAGCCTTTTGATTGTCAATGAATCAGGAATTCTGGTCAAGATTCTTAAATAGAGTCTTCTGGTTCCAGACTTCTCAATCAGGGGAAACATCTTATCTGCAACCGTCCTGTCTGCTTTTTGTATGTTTCAATGACATCCCCTCCTATTCTTTGTAACTCTAGAGAATACAGGCCCAGTTTGCTCAATCCCAGTTCATAGGACAGTTGCTTAATCCTAGGAACAAGTCTGGTGAACCTTTGCTGCATTCCCTCTGTGGTAATAATGTCTTTAGTGAAGTAAGGAGGCCAAAACTTCACACAGTACTCCAGCTGTGGTCTAACCAAGGTCGTGGGCAATTAAAACAAGACTTCACTGTTCCTGTATTCAAATCATCTTGTAACAAAGGCTAACACTTGATAGCCTTCCTAACAGCTTGTTTCACTTGCACTTTAGCCTTCAGTAACTTATTTAAGGGCACCCAGGTTCTTTTCATATCTAGGCTTTCCGATCTCTTACTACTTAAGAAATACTCTTGCACATTTGTTTTTTTTTCTGTCAAAGTGTATAACGTTACTTTTTGCTCAAAAAATCCAATGAGATATATTCTGAACAGTACTAAAGAGTCTTCCATACATGATCTCATTATTGAGGGCTGTTATCAGTCTTAACATATTCCAGAAATCAAGGAAAGAAAAATACTGTGTGGCAGTTCTATGACACTAACTTTTCCACCTTAGTAATCAACTGCATAATCAATCTCTCTAATGATCCGGTATTACTGTCATCAGTTTATTTCAAACAGAATCTGCTGAGGAACACATGGAGGAAAACAAATCAGTTGAGAAAGAGATCCGACGGTTGTTGCCATCTGTTGAATTGTACCCCATCAAAAAATAGATAGCATACCATCAGTTTAAGTGTGACACCCTTTATCTATAATATTTCTACTATATAACATCATTTTAGTATATGTATAGGAAAGAGAACTCTGCACCAATATAAATCTCTGCTGTTTGATGCAAATGAGATCAAGATAACTTACTTGGCAGTATTTAAATCGTCTTTAAGTGAGTCCTCGACGCCACTGCTACGGTCAAAGTCAGAAAGAGGTGAAGCAGCGGGAATCGAGGAGCGGGAATCACGGTGAGCTTTTTTATGACCACCAGACCGACGCTTGTCACGTTCCACATCCCCTTTTTCCTTTCTTGACTTTCCTCTATGCTGAACTTGTGGCTCTTCCTGGAGTATACAAAAAAAAATTTACTTAACTCAAATAAAATAAAGAATATGTTGTTTACTTGTTCACAGGATGTAGCTACCACCAACGAGACCAGCTTTTAAAATCCATCCCTATTTATCTTTGGAAAGGTGATTTGCTGCTTTCTTGAATGAGTGGTCCTGTATGGTAGCTTCACCAGATTAGTACCTCACTTTTAGATATGACTGGTGTTTCTCCTGACATGTTCTCCTACATTCTTTAAATTACAGTACGTCTACTTATTTGATAAAAGTAGTACATTAAGGGATAAAATCTGAAAGAACTGTGGATGCTGTAAATCAGAAACAACAACAGAAGTCGCTGGAAAAGCTCAGCAAGTCTGGCAGCATCTCTGGAGAGAAATTAGAGTTAACGTTTCGGATTGCGTGACCCTTCCTCAGAAATCATTTGGTCTGAGAAAGGGTCACTTAACCTGAAATGTTAACTCTGATTTCTCTCCTCAGATGCTGCCAGACTTGCTGAGCTTTTCCAGCAATTTCTGGTTTTGTTACATTAAGGGATAGATCAGGTCACGAAATTATAGATTGTGATGAAATGTAACTCCTTTTTCAATACTTTCTCAGACGCCCGGGTTTGAGTTATTCTGAAAGAACCCAGTTAGCTTACTAAGAGAGCCTCACAACACAATAAAGGGTGTCCTCAGTGTAAAGACTGAACTTTTTCTTTAAAAGAACTGTGATGTGATCAATCATATCAATACTGCCATGAAGATCAGCATTTGTAACAAGTAGATTTGTGAGATTAAGAAGGGTTTCCCTTGTGTTGGTCCTCCACCACCCACCGCAAGAACAATCCAGTAGACAAGTTCTTCAGGGCTCAGTCAGTAGTGGTGCTAGTGAGCCACTCTTCATAGTGGATATTGCAGAATATATTCTGTACCTCTGTTTCCTCTGATTGGCAATTAACATGGACAAATGCTAATTCAGTAATTAAACACAGCAGGTGGTAAGTTTTTAAACTATTTATTCAGGGAATGTGAGTGTTGCTAGCTAGGCCAGTAGTGATGATACAACCCTAATTGTCCTTCAGTAAGTCATAGTGAGCCATGGTCTTGAACTGTTGCAGACTAGGGGAAACGAAGGTGGGGTATGGCCACAGCACTGTTAGGAATGCAGGTCCAGATTTTCCCCACTGATAGTGAAAGATTGACGATTTATTTCCAAATCAGGATGGTTTATGGAAACCAGTGAAGGGTTTTCCCCAATACCCGTTGATTTTAGTTTTGCTCAGTCTTCTTGATGCCTCACTTGGTCAAGTGCGACCTTGATGTCAAGGGCAGTCACTCTCATCTCATCTCTGGAATTCAGTTCTTTTGTCCATCATTAGATCAAACCTGTTATGGGGTCTGGAGCAGAGTGGCCTTGGCAGAACCCAAATTAGGCGTCAGTGAGCGGGTTATTGCTGAGCAAGCGTAGCTTGATAGCACTGTTGATGACACCTTCCATTATTTTGCTGTTGGTTGTGAGTAGACTCACGAGACAGTAATTGACTGGGCTCATTTTGTCCTGACTTTTTTGTACATGATATACCTGGGCATTTTTCCACATTGTCAAGAAGATGTCAGTACTGTATCTGTACTGGAACAGCTTGGCTAAAGGCACATCTAGTTCTAGAGCACATGTCTTCAGTGCTATTGCTGGAATATTGTCAGGTCCCACAGCCTTTGTTGTATCTTTGGTAGTTTCTAAATACCACGAGGACTGAAGCAGTTGATTAAGGTTGCCATATGTGATTCTGAAGACCTCAGGAGCAGAACAAGAAGGCACATCCACTTAGAATTTCTTGAAGATGGTTGTAAATGTTGTCAAGTCATTAGTTTTCACTCAGTTGGGCTGGAATATTTAACCTAATACTATATCCACAACATCATTGTACCTGGATTTCCAAAGCTCCTTTCACAACTTCAGGACATTCCAAATTATTTTATTTAATAAAGTTAATGAAGGCTTTTTGAATTCTAGTCATTGTTACAATATAGCAAGCTTTGCGGCCAATTTATGCATAGCAAGTTCACAAAAAAGGCATTCTGACAAGAACCAAATTCTCTGGTTTGATGTGGGTTGAGGGTTACATATTGAGCAGGACACTAGGGAAAACTCCTTCTCATCTAAATGTTGACATCTCCAGCTAATGCTCCCTCTCGCTGTGCATGGCCACAGGGCAGTCAGGATTATATTGTTACATTGAAAGAAACAGGTTGCTCACAATTTTGATCTCAAGTGGAGATGGGCTGAGCATTAAACTCCAATGTCACAATCATGTATGGTGGGAGTTGGAGAAGGCAAAACACAGCTGTGAATGGAGGAGCAGGGAGAATGAGAGAGAATCTGTGTCCAGAGGATCAATGAGCTCTAGAGAAGAAAGTATGCCACGAAATGAGCAGGGCGTCTCAAAAATAGTGTTAGGCAAATAGACAGACAGGGATTCAAAGCACTGGGAGATTTATTGGATCCAAGAGTGGTTAAATGGAGGAAAACTGGGAAAAAGCTAATCTGGCTATGAGGGTAAGGCTAGAGCTGATATGAATGAAAGAATTAAGCCCGTGAAGCATTTAGTTAAGAATCCTTGATCAGGACAAGACTCAGAATTACCCCTTATTCAGCAGCTCTCAATGTCCCCAGGATATAATTCAGAACCCAATTACATAGAAAGGATAACAGCAACTCACAAGCACAAACCCAGTAGCACAGACCCATCTTGGACACTTTAATACACAAAGCACCTGTGATGAAGTTGATCAATAGATGTAGTGTCAAAGAATGCTTTCTGATGGACAGATTATAATGCAGATTCAGTTGCTGAATAAATCAAGAATGGCCAATAAGCATCCAGCCTTATTATTTACTGAGTAACATTTGCCAACCTGGAAAATGCAGGTTAACTGAAGCTATATGAATAATTCATGGAAGATTGACCAGATTCTGAGTTTAATTTTATTATTTAACAAGCTGAATAGATCTTGAATGTTGCTTATATGCTAAACCAATACTTTTAAGCTGTGTGAATCCTTCTGTCTCCCTTCACATTTCTCCTGACAGTGGCTTGAATCAGGAAAAGGGAGCTAAAAGCCCAGGCGTGGGATGCGTGTGGGAAGGGAAAAAAGAAGGAATGGGGTTTGGATGAGAATGTGATATCTGAATACAGAGAGAATGGAAAAACGTGGGAGAGGGTGAGGATTAAATATGTGAAGAGGAGGAGAACACAGCCAGGGAGCAGAAACTTAGAACTGAACAGCTGTCAGTAGATATAGAAAGAGTTGCAGTAGGAGAGCTACATTTGTGGGACATTTGAGCAGAAGAAAAATTGGATTTGTGATAAGAGGGACAGCGGGATGTACAAGTTGAGAGGGAAAATGAGACATGTGAGAAGAGAAGTGGATCACAATGTATTAGACTGTATGTTTAGTGTGCCCTGTTATAGGATATGTAAAGGGAATTTTGAGGAGAAATAGGATGGGGCAAGTGGAATGAAAGCAATGTTTCCTTTGAAGTGCAAATGTGCATAGTAGCTTCACACCAATCTAAAACACACCACGCATTGAACATTATTGGGCTTTTGGAACTTCATGAAATTTTAATGATTTGTGAAATGCAAGATGTTAATGGATTAAACGATTGGGCTTGTAGGAGTGTGTAGCCTACTCAGAACTAGGAAAATTTGGGACATTGTCTCCAACAGTACAACACTCCCATCCCTGAACCATTAGATTTTATATCTTCAATGGGCAATCTGTTGGATCAGGTGAGAATGGGCCACAAGATCCCTTATTTTGGACTAGCTACATGTCACCTGCATGACCATCACATTTTGAGAATGGACTTGAACCAAGACCTTCTGGCTCACTGCACTATAAGACCCCGTTGTTTAAGATCTGTATGGCAACTGTATTCAACATTAACCAAGGAGAATATTAGATATACTTATTTTCACTCAGCTCAGGCCAATGCTCTTGTTCCAGACATACCTTAATAACTGGGACCAAAATTTCAGGGTCTGGTTCAGGTTCCTTCTTATCTTCAAACAACAATTTTCCTTCATCTGGGTTAGGTAAAAGTCTGAAATATTTTTGTATTTCTGTTCCTGAAGTGGGCCTTCGTTCCACAGGGTATCGTACCAATCCAAACAGGGCAGGAGGTGGAATAGCGGGGCCACTTCGACTCAGACCCAGACTATTTAAAACCTATACAACAGAAAGCAATATCAATGAATTTTGAAACAAAACAGATGAACTGATAGTTTAAATTTAGATAAATAAGTATGATCTAGTAGCCATATAGTGACATGGCTGTAGGATAATATAGATTGGAACCTAAGTATTGAAGGGTATGTGATATTTAAAAAGGACAGCAAACTAGGAAAGGTGGAGGGGTGGCTCAGTTCATTGCAGGTTATGTTAGCACAATATGGAGGAATCACCTAAATTCAGGGGTTAAAAATAGATGTAGAAATGGTTTGGGTAGGGATAAGGTTGAGAAAAAGCCAAGTCACTTGTGGGACTTGTATATAAGAGAAACTAGGTCAGGCATAAAAGAAGTATGGGAACTTGTCTGTTGAAAAGGTATGATGATTATCATGGGGAAGTTTAATCATATAGATTGGAAAAATCAGGTAGGCAAAGGTAGCTTAGATGAGAAATTCATAGAATTTTTTCAGGATAGTTTCTTACAACAGTATGTTCTGGCACCACCCAGACAGCAGGTTACACTAGACCTGGTATTGACCATTGCAATAGAAATAATTAATTACTTCATAGTGAAGACCCTTAGCTAGCCTTGTTTGTCCTGCCCAAGTGCATCACCTCACATTTATCTGGATGGAATTCCATTTGCCACTAATCAGCCCACCTGACCAGCTCGTCTATATCCTTTTACAGTCTAAGACTATCATCCTCACTATTTACCACTCCACCAATTTTTGCATCGTCTACAAATTTACTGATTAAGCCTCCTACATTCACGCCTAAATCATCTGTATAAACCAAAGGCAACAAGGGACCCAACACTGACCACTGTGGGACCTCAGTGAATACAGACTTCTAGTCGGAAAACATCCCTCAACTATCATCCACAGCTTCCTACTACTCAGCCAATTGTGGATCCAATCTGCCAAATTTCCTTGAAACCCATGGGCTCTTACCTTTGTTATCAGTCTCCAATGCGGGACCTTTTAAAAAGACTTGCTGGAGTCTAAATAGACTACATCAAAGCATTGTCCCTCTTCAAAAAATTCAGTCAAGTTAGACAGCTATGATCTCCCCTTCATAAAACCACACTGACTGTTCTGGATTAATCCTGTCCCTCAGAATTGCTTCCAATTGTTTCCCTACCACAAGGTTAGACTGACTGGCTTGTCGTTTCCTGGTTTAACCTTTGCTCCCTTTTTGAATAATGAAAGCCACTGCTATTATTAACGATATAATAACAAGGCACTTAGATAAATTCAAGGTAATCATTCGAACATATGAATATGCAAATCAGAAACAAAAAAAGCTAATCAGCCCCTCGACCCTATTCGGCCATTGAATTGGATTGTGGCAGATCTGATTGTAACCTCAAATCTGTATTCCTATGCCCTATGTTCCGATGCTCTAATATAATAACTGTTTTTTGTAATATTTAATCTACAATGTGAACTTTTTATGTAACATAAATAAGGTGTTTAATCTATGTATTGGAATAATAGTTTGCAATTAGAAACTATATGTATCTTAGTTACTTTTCTGGTGTTTTCTAATTTAGGAAGTATCCTTTCACATACCTAGCTACTGGTGGTTCAGGGACAGACTTTTGCATGTAGAGAGAGAGTTTACAATAGGGAATGAGCCAAGGGGACAATGAACAATTAAGCAAGTCAAGGGTCAAAGCAGATTTGAGGAAATCACAGAATGTTAGACATGGCGTAATGCTATTCGCAAACACATCTTGTATCTTTACCTCATCAGCTGTTGGAACTTTCCCGCTTTCCAGAATCAATTTCCCAAAGCAATCCTCTAGGTCAGAAACGTGCAACTTGATCTGTGGCACTCCAAAATTGTCTTCTTTTTCTGCACTATCCTTGCTGTCTCCTTCAGCTATGCCATCAGAGAGTGGAGATGTACCAATTTTCTCCTCTCTCAGCTTTTCCAAACGTTCTTTCTCGGCCTTCTCTCGCTCCAAGCGGTCTTTTTCAGCTCGCTCCTTCTCAGCTCTTTCGGCTCTCTCTTTTTCGGCTTTGTCATGTCGATCCTTTTTACCCCTTTTCCCTGAAGGTGCAGGCCGTTCAACTGTATGCTCTTCCCCCAAGCTTTGGATATCCTCCGATGCTGGGAAGATAATGGCTCCTTGGGCTCGATCCCAGAATTCCAAAATTTGAGAGATTTTCTTCTGGTTGCGCTCATACCTTTGAAATCTTTGGAAAAGCAATTTTTCTGGGTTTTTGTATAATGCATCCTCTTGGATTGAATCCGTCCTGTCTAAAATTGTGTGGTTGCTTCTGGCATCTTTGGTCTTTTTCTTTCTAACTCCTTCCTCTACATCACCACGATCTATTGAATCATGAGGATCAGTAGAGGTGGTCTTTCCTTCAGGACCATCAGATTTCACTGTTGAAATATTTGTGCTCTGTAGAAAAGTACATAACAAAACCACCATTATATACGTTCTTTTATTCCCAAATGCTTTGAAATTACCTTACTGTTCCTTTCATACGTTTGCCATGACTGCACCTTCTGCACTTACAGAAAGCATATTATATTGGGATATTAAACTTCTTAGAATTGCGTCTCCACCTTACCCCAGCAATTCCACCCTAAAAACCATTCACTAGGGAGGGCAGAGCCTACGACCACTGGATAGCTGACATAGATCCTTTTTAGGAAAGTCACAAGAGTGCACAAGAGAAGGTTGAATGATTATGAAGAATTTGTTGATTTTCTTGGTTGACAGCAGAGAAAAAGAACATTGTCGTATTTCTACAACACGTCCTGGGCCTCTTAGTCTACAATGGAGCAACAGGATGGAACTATGATAACTGCTGACTGTGGTGATTTTAATGAGGTCAGCCAGGCAGACTTCAAAGGATATGAGTTCCCTGATTGGGGCTATTAACCTAGTACAATTAGGGAGCCCTGGCTGAGAGTTATAAACAGGACCGACAGAGGTTCTGTTCACTCTGACAGCTGGCTCTGAAGATGACGGACCAGTGTTAAGGTCTCTCCACATGTAAATAAAGAGTGACTTTGTGATGGGATATCAACCTCGATGGAGTTATTTCAGTAGTGATGAGTGAACAAAATATGTTCCTGAAGAAATTCACAACAGTCTTTGAGTTGGGTAAGCATTTCTGGTATTGTGCTGTTATCTGGGAAGCTTGACTCATTCGATCCTGCCATTGAAGACTGGGCCCAGTGTGTGGGAAGGATGGAGTACTTTTCTGGGCAAATGACATTGGTACAGATGAAAAGAAACGAGTAATTCTCCTGACAGCTTGTAGACCTGCAGCTTTTTTGGTTATTAGGAGCCTAACATTTTCAGAGGCACCAGATACTAAAACCTTTCAAGAATTGATGGATTTAGTTCAAGAATATTATGGCCCCAAGTCTCCTCTAATTCTGAGATGCTATCAATTTTACTCAGCAGTTTCAGAACCAGGGGAATCCATGTCAGGGTTTTTGACAAGGCTAAGATGACTGACAGAGGCATAAGACTTTGGTTTAACCATTAATGAGATACTGAGAGACTGTTTGGTGTGTGGGATTAATGATGTAACCATGCAAAAGCACCTACCAGCTGAAGCCCAACTGAACTTCAAACAGGCACTGCAACTGGCTTTATCATTGGAAAATGTGGCAAGTGGAGCATATCAGTTACAGGGTATTCCAATAGAAGTGGACACACACGCCAGCCCGACTGAGCTTGGGGTCCACCATTCGATTGAAGCAGTTGCATAGCCTCACTCAGCAAATATCCTGAACAGAGGGACTCTAAGTCAGCCCACAACAAAACCCAAAAACAAAGCAAAGCCTCAGCCAAACAGGTAACAATTTCTTCAGGATCCAGGCCTGGCAAGCCATTGTAGTTGCTGCCAGTAGGAAGACTCAAGGCAGTAAAAGAATCCCAGTAAGGCTGAATTGAGTAAGAAAGCTCATAGGCCAGTATCCAGGAGAGTGCACACTCTGGGAAGCCCATCTACATCTCGTTTGGAACAGAGAAATTGCTCAGCAACATCCAAATCAAAACCAATCAAAATTAATTCCTGGTTAAATGGTCACAAGGTTTTAATGGAGGCTGATACTGGCATAGCTGTATCAGTGATTGTAGAGTGAGTCTTTAATAAAATTCGTTCTGGACTCCAAACTTTAAGTTTGCGTAAGACCTCGGCTAAACTGAGAATCTATACCGGAGAATCTTTACAGATTAAGGGTACAACTTTGGTTCTGATCTCATATGAGAAGCAGTTGGTTCAGTTACCACTGATTGTAGTAAAAGGCTCAGGGCAAGCCTGATGGGGCAAAATTGATTGAGAAAGACTCGCCTTGTTTGGCTCAAAACTTTTTCGATTAGAAAATGGTTGCCTTAGTGAAGTCCGAACTAAATACTGGGAAGATTTTCAGGAAGGTCTAGGGACTAACAAAGGAGCCATGGTCACCTTGCACATTGACCAAGAAGTAATTCCACAATTCTATAAGGCCAGCCCAGTGCCATTTGTCTTATGAACAAAAGAAGAAGCAGAAATCAGGAGGCTGGAAAGTGAAGGAATCATCAAACCAATCCACCTTGCAGAATGAGCAGCAGCGGTTGTACCGGTTGTGAAACGCGATGGGTCGGTTCACCTTTGTAGGGATTTTAAACAAATGGTAAACTGCTTCTCACAGCTGGATAAATGCCTAATCACTCGCAGGGAGGACTTATATGAAAAGCTGATGGGGGGCTATCCTTCACGGAACTGGACATGAGCCATGTGTACCTGCAATTGCGGTTAGAAGAGGATTCCCAGAAGTATGTTACAATTAATACCAATAAAGGTTTGTACCAATATAAAAGATTGCCATTTGGGGCACCATCAGCCTGTGCAATTTTTCGGGAACAAGGTCTAACCCAAGTTGCCATTTATCTGGATGACGTACTAATAACAGGGAAGACCAATAAAGAGCAATTAGAGAACTTGAACATTCCTTCAAGGCAGCTATATGCCTATTTCGGCCACTGAGTCAACAAGACCAGGTTACACCCATTAGAAGACAAAGTGAGGGCGATCAAAGATGCCCCGGCTCCCAAGTCTGTATCGGAGATTAGGTCTCTCCTTGAGTTGGTAAATTATTACAGAAAGTTCAGACATAAATAGTCCTCCATCCTGGCACCCTTACATCTGCTATTGAAAAAAAGGGCAGTCTTGGAAATGGTCTCGTAGCCAAGATGTAGCCTTTTGGGAAGTGAAGGAGCAGCTATTATCGTTAAATATGTTGGCACACTATGATCCCAAGCGAGATCTGCTGTAGACATGCGATGCCTCCCTGTACGCTATTGGGTAGTGTTGACTCACAATGGACAGGAATGCCCAATAGCATATGCTGCCAGGAGTTTGGCTGATGCTGAGCGCAAATACACCCAGACGGAGAAGGAAGTTTTGATGGTCTTCTTTGATGGGAAAAAGTTCCACCAATACCTTTGTGGACTTAAATTTGTAATAGTAACAGACCACATACCCCTGCTAGGGTTACTCAAAGAGGTCAAGACAGCGCAACCCATAGCCTTAGGTCAAATTCAGCAGTGGCTCTCATTCTAACTGCGTACAATTACAAGTTGGAACACCACAAATGCGCAAGTGTCGCAAATGCAAATGCCTTGAGCTGCCTGCCGATGTTGCTGTCACTGGAAGGGTCTATTCTGGTTTTAAATTTTCTGGACACCCTTCGTGAAACTGCTGACAATATCAGCCTGTGGACACAGAAAGATCCAGTCTTGACAAAACTAAAATAGCTGGTGGTGATGGGTGAAACAAAAGAGCCAACACAACCAGAATTGAAACATTTCTGGACCTGGCGAGACTGGATCACCGCAGAGGATGGCATTTTATTATGGAGAAGCAAGAGTGTTTGTCCCATGCAAAGATCGCCACCACTTACTGGCTAAACTCCTCTGGGGTGATTCATGGTTTTCCAAAATGAAATTGTTATGTCTGGTGGCCAGGATTGGATGCAGACATGGCTGCATTGGTGGGGCAGTGCCCAAAGTGCCAACAAAGACAAACATTACTGCCAGCAGCTTCCCCAAATCCATGGGAATGGCCGGGTAAACCCTGGACACGGCTACACATCGATTATGCCGGCCCTTCCATGGGCCCAACATTCTTCATCATTGTGCACTCCCACTCAAAGTGGTTGTATGTGAATAGAGTTCATTCATTAAATGTGGGGACAACGAGAGAAAAGCTGCGAGCATCTTTTGGAATTCACGGGCTCTCGGAAGAGTTGGTCACAGACAACGGGCTATCATTTACCAGCAGGGAATTCAAGTGTTTCCTAAAGTTGAATGGCATTCAGCATATAATGCAGGATTAAAGAAACAGCCTGCAGCTTCACTCAATACCAAATTGTCCTGGTTCCTATTTGATTGTCAGTCCACAACTGATGCAACTACAGGGATAGCTCGAGCAGAGTTGTTAATGGGGAGAAGACTGAAGAATCTGATCTTCCTGCACCTGGGCAGGAGAGTGAAATGGTATCAAGGACACAATTACCAGACACAAGGCTCCTCTAAGCGAGAGAGACAGTTTACTTCAGGGAACGAAGTTTGGTGCCAAAACTACGGAAATGGCCCTGCATGGGTAAGAGGTACGATTGATGCAAGCTCAGGTTCCGTGACGTACAAAGTTTGGGTAGGTGAGATGGTCCTAAACAAGCGTGTGGACCACATGAAAGCTGCAAACTTGCAAACAGGTCAGGAGGAAAATATACCCGGCTCCACAGAACAGCCAGAAAGGCTGTCAGAACCTGTGGGTTCTCGCCCTCCAACTACAGTCGAACAAACCTCGGAGTCTGAGATGGACACAGCGCATGTTGCAGCCTCTACATCTTTACTGCCTGAATTGGAGGATAAATTTCTCCCAAGATACTCTGGGCATGAGGTGGGCAATACTCCAGTACATGTCGCCCGTATCTGAGGCTGAGTTCGAAGAACCAGACCCAGTCCAAAAACGCCCTAGGAGAGGCTACAAGGAAAAGAACAGGTCTATATTCCCAGACTTAGAGGTGGCAGAATGTAGTGTTAGCCAGGTCAGCCAAGTGGAGGTCACAGAGAATGAGTTCGCTGATTGAGGCTGTGAATCCGATCCAGTCAGGGATAGCTGGCTGACAGATATAAACAGGAGTGTCAGAGATTCTGTTCACTCTGAGAGCTGGCTCTGAGGAATGCCAGACCGGTGTCAAGTACTGTGCACTGTAAATAAAGGGTGACTCAGTGAGTCATTTCACTGAGCAAGCATTTATTTCAGAATCCAAAGGATATTAACTCCAGAATTTTAAGCCTAAAGAATGAAATTCAACAGTTCAGCCCCAAGTAACATTTCTGCAAATATTTCTCTATCTCTTTTGGTTTTCCCATGGTACTTGGGGATGCCACAATGCTAGTTGATCACTCTTCACCATCTCCATTGATCAACTATCAATTGTGATTTTTTTATTCATTTTTGTGGGATGTGGGCATCGTTGGCTGGGCCAGCATTTACTGCCCATTCCTAGTTGCCCTTGAGAAGGTGGTAGTGAACTGTCTTCTTGAACCGCTGCAGTCCACCTGCTGTGGGTTGACCCACAATGCCTTTAGGGAGGGATTTCCAGGATTTTGACCCAGTGAAAGTGAAGGAATGGTGACACATTTCCAGGTCAGGATGGTAAGTGGCTTAGAAGGGAACTTGAAGATGGTGTTGTTCCCATATATCTGCTGCCCTTGTTCTTCTAGATGGAAGTGGCCATGGATTTGGAAGGTGCTGTCTGAAGATCTTTGCTGGATTTCTTCGTCTTTGGTGAAGATGGGTGTGGAAAGGAGGCAGGTGTGGACAGGAGGAGGGTGTGGGAGGGAGGCGAATGTGAACAGTAGGATGTGAATACAATGAAGATGTGGGATGGAGGTGAAAGTGGGAGGCAGATGGATGTTGACAGAAGAATGTGGATTGCTTGAGGGTGTGAAAGGGAGGTGGCTTTGGTAGATGCTGCTTATGTTCACTGTTTCTTATGCAAAAAGCTGCAGCTTTTAACTAGGCATTGGATGTGCAAAGAGAGGCTCTCATCTACAAACAATGGAGGGCATTAACTTGCTACTGTTTTTGGGTCAAACATTTTGGAAACTCTAAGGATATTTCTGAATGTAAAGTGAATCAATCTGCCCATCTCTGATGTGTTGTTTTCATATCCATGTCTTTGACTTTCAGGATTTTGACCCAGCAACAGTGAACGATCAGCAATATATTCCAAGTCAGGATAGTGAGTGGCTTGGAGGGAACTTGAAGGTGATGGTGTTCCCATGTATCTGCTGCCCTTGTCCTTCTAGATGAAAGTGATCTTGGGTTTAGAGGTGATGTCTAAGGATCTTTGCTGAATTTATGAAGTGCATCTTGTAGATAGTATACATTGCTGCTACTGAGAGTCAGTAGAAGAAGTGGATGTTTGTGAATGTAGTTCCAATTAAGCCAGATGCTTTGCCCTGGATGGTGTCAACCTTCTTGAATGATGTTGGAGCTCACCCATCCAGGCAAAGAGTATTCCATCACACTCCTGACTGGTCCCTTGTGGGGTTTGGTGGGGTTGGGGGGTCGGGGTGGGGAGACAGTCAGGAGATGAGGTACTCGCCGCAGTATTCCTAGCCTCTGACCTGCTTTTGTAGCCACTGTGTTTATGTGGCAAGTCTAGTTGAGTTTCTGGTCAATGGTAACCCCCAGGATGTTTATAGTGGGGGTTTCAGTGATAGTAACACCATTGAATGTCAAGGGGTAGTGTTAGATTGTCTCTGATTGGTGATGGTCATTGCCTGGCATTTGTGTGGCACGAATGTTATTTGCCACTTGTCAGCTCAAGCCTGGATATCATACAGATCTTGCTGCATTTGAACATGGAGTGCTTCATTATCTGAGGAGTTGTAAATACTGCTGAACATTGTGTAATCATTGGTGAAAATCCCCACTCCTAACCTAATGATGGTGGGAAAGTCAATGATAAAGCAGCTGAAGATGGTTGGGCCTAGGACACTACCCTGAGGAACTCCTACAGAGATGTCCTGGAGCTGAGATGACTGACTTTCAACAACCATGACCATCTTACAATGTGCCAGCTATGACTCCAAACCAGCACAGAGTTTGCACCCTGATACCTATTGATTCCAGTTTTGCTAGGGCTCCTTGATGCCACACTCAATCGAATGCAGCTTTGATGTCACGGGCTGTCACTCTCAACTGACTTCTGGAATTCAGCTTTTATATCTTTGTAGCGATTGATACTACGGAATGGCTTGTTAGGCCATTTCAGAGGCCAATTGAGAGTTAACCATATTGCTGTGGATCTGGGAGTTGGTAAGTTGGTAAGTAATTTAGTTGGTAAGTTTACAGTTGGATGTTCTTCCTGTAGTTAATAAATCTCATTAATCTGGACCATGGACTCGCACCAGTACATATTCGCTTGCCAATCTCAGCGTCCAGATTCCTGCATGGCCAGGAGTGAAGCTTTTAAGTATTTTGACCCAGAGGTGGGGGCACTGCCACTTCAGCCACACATAGATTCCGACATATTTGCAGTTATAAACCCAAGAACTATAACTCAAGAAGTGCAAACCATGATTTAAACCATAGGAATTGGATTTTCAGTCATTGTTCTGCTACTCCAATTCATTGCTACATTTCCTAATAATGCTGTTTGTTTTTGGGGTATCCACAGCCCACAAATAAATCACCCGCCAAACTTTTCCTTTTTGGTTAATTGATGCAACAAATGTTGCCAGGGTGTTTCATCCCAGAGGTATCACTGCTCTACCTGATTCTGTCACCATCTGAGATTCCCAGTGGTAAATTTCCTCGCAGAGTTACAAGTAATCAGGAGTGCCTATCCTGATGCAAGTTCATTTTCCTGGCTCACTTCACTGCCTTGGCTGAGAAATGACAGTCAGCTCAGTCTAAGATCCACATTGTGAATGTCTGACATGTATGATTGAAAGTTATATTGCAAATGACCCTTTACAAACTGAAGTAGCTCAACATTTAAAGTACAATAGTTAGAAATGAAAAGTAACACTAAGTATCACATTAAAATGGGAAGATGACGAGTGAAGAGGTAAGGAAGACATTATTGAAAATGGTTGAACTTTAAGATGCACATTCACTCAGCTGTACCACATTGTCTAGATAACATTCAATGGTCCATCTTTGACTAGCTACCAATGGGGCAAAGCTTTCACTCTTTTTCCTCGTCTTGACCTTAAATTTTAAAAGATCAATAACTATTCAAATTAATGAAGCATTGTAAGTTTCTCTATTCACAGTTTTCCAACAACCGTACCATCCTTGCACTTATCTGGTATCTTCTTGCATCATCCCTGATACTGAAATCTTTTCTTGCTCTTTTAGATTTTTTCTTGAGTTCTTCTTCCTCTCGCAGCCTCTCCAGTTCTTCCCTCCATCTCTGTTGCTGCAGTTGTCGTTCACGTATCTCCTTCAAAACTCTGGACACAAAAACAGATTTTTTTCACATAAGGCCTCTCATCTTTTACAGTAGAAGTTCTCCAAATAACACATCAACTAATGTGGAAGCTACACAACCCAGTGGATTAGCAGATGAAACAACTGATATTGAAAAATCTGCCTCAACAGGTTAGATCCTGGCTTATCTGCACTTTAAGACCTTTCACAAAACCACGTTGACTCTGCTTTACTGCGTTAAGCTTTTCTAATTGCACTGCAATTTCTTCCTTCATAATGGACTCTAGCAAAGTTTCAGTGACAGAGGGAAGGAGATCAGTCATTCTTTCCTGTTCTGCATTAAGCCCATGGACATGTAGTTAACTCATAACTGTGCTTTAAAAAGCCCTGGGAAAACTAGTAAATTGCCAGCAATATTTTAAATGAACATATTAGTTCACACTGAAGCTCCATTTTGAAATATACAAGGCATGTTGAACTGGTTTGTATCATTCACAAGCTTTATTTGTTTTTCCTCCTACAAGGGCCATCAATTATATCCAGTTTCTCAAGGGCAACTAGGAATAAGCAATAAGTGCTAGTCTTAACAATGATGCCCTCCGTCTATGAACTAATTTTAAAAAATGTTTTAACTAATAGTCCTTTAATTTCAACTATTTATGGTATTCCAGATTTTTTCTACACTTTATGCAAAGACTAGTTGCTTGACATCACCCTTAAAACATGAGTTCATTATCCAAACCTCTTTGAAAGCTGTGATTGAATTCTCCATTAACTCAGTCTCCAGCAGTGCATTCCAAATCAGAATCACTCACTGAATAAAGAAGCTTTTCCTCAGGTCACCATATTATATTTTGTCAATCACCTTAAAATGGTTCTGATTCACAACCCTTCCACGAATGGGAAGTTTCTACTTACTTGTCTGTTCCATCCCCTTGATTTTAAGACCTTTGTCAAATTCTCACTCTATCCTCTCTCCTTCATGTAGACATAAGTTCTCGATCCATTCTAACTGACTCAAGTCTCATATTTCCAAAATTATTTCAATAAATCTTTCATGCATCTAAAGCCTTCATATACTTCCTCAAGGGTGGTGCCCAATTTAGACACAATATTTGAGTTGCGGCTGAACCAGTGTTTTATAAATGTTCACCACATCTTCTTCTATTTTGTAGCTTATGCCTCTATTTATAAAGCCAAGAATCCCACTTTCTCAACTCAGCCATTTTCAATGATTATGCACATATATCTTCACATTCTTTTACCGCACACCTTTTCACGTCATATTCTTTTCCATGCTATCTTTCCTCAGTCTTCCTATTAAAATCTCACTTCTTTACATCTGTCACATGTCAGCCTATTACACCAGCCAGTGTCCTCTTGAAGTATGTCATTAGCCTCATCACAGTTCACAATACTTTCATGTTTTGTGTCTTCTGCAAATTTTGAAATGGTGCCAAGATCTCCTGGGTCCAGGATGAGTGTAAGATGTAAGACTTTGACAGCATGTCTCTTTCCCAGTAATACTCAGGTCTAGATCATTAATACAATACATTAATACCGTCTAACTAATGTACCTCACAGAGCAATTCTTCAACAAAGGATAATATAAATCTAGATTTCTCTCCCTCGACAGGCTGTTGAAGTGAGTTCAACTTAAATTTTCGAAGCTGAAAATAACAGATTTTTGTTAGGTGAGAGTATGAAAGGCTACAGAAATATATGGGTATACAGAGTCAAGGTATATATCAGTCATGATTCAATCCAACGCAACAGGGTCTACAAGTGATTCACCTTATACTGTTGTTACATCTTTCTTTGTAGGAGCAATGAGTGCACCTGAGATTCTGACCCAAATAGCTGACAGGATGGTTTGATCACTCACCTTTCCCTGCGTGCTTTGAATAAAGAAGTGCGTTTCAAGTCGAACTCCGCTCTTGCTTCTTCTGACAGAGCCTCATAATCTTCTTCACTCAACTCTTGCAGATAAATCCTCTCCTTCTTTTCTTGCTCCTTCACTTTTTTCTCTATAATTTGGTTTTGGAGAAACATGGCATTTGTAGTGTGATTTAAGATTTGAATTCTATATTAAATTCTATACATCATTATATTCTCCCAGTTAATCGACTTCACCAACTTATATTCATATAGCCCCTTTAATATTGAAGAACAGATATTTTAAACAGATGCTGTAAAAATAAAACCATCAGGAGCTTAGCAATTCAGACCAGGACAATTAAAGGTCCAAGAACATTGGCTGTTCTAAGTTAGCAGTTCTTACTTGAGTCAGAGGTAGGGTTATTAACTTCAATATCCTACTTTAAGGATGGAAATGTCATAAAAATGTTCCTTTCCTTTATCTATGTACAGCTATCCCAGATATGAGTATACAATAAGGTGAGGACAGAATTGGGGCTTGGCTAAGATGCCTCCCAGCAGCAGTCACTATCTTGTTCCAAGTGTAATTAAGGGTCCTTTGGGCCAGGAATTAAAATAGTTGTGCATGTAGAGCAGTAATGACAAGGATCATAGAAATGCTAATAATTTAGTCACTTGAATTATGTTGAGAAATTGAATTTTTTTGTGGGAAAAAAATTATCTAAGATAAGTCAAATGAGATATGTAGAAAGAGCGGTGGAATTCTAAAAGCAAATTTTAGGGAGTTAGAAAGGAAATAAAGAAGCAGAACTTTGAAAGCAGTAATCTCAGGATTTCTCCAAGTGTCATGTGCTAGTGACTGCAGGAATAGGACAATTCATTGATTCAACACATGGCTGGAGAAATTGGTGTGGCATGGAGAGCATTAGATTTCTGAGGGTAGCTGGGAACTGTTAAGTTGGATTGGTCACATTAACAGGGCTGAGACAAATAACCTGGAAGGGAGATGTGCAACTGCTATTAGGAAGTGTGTAAACTAGCTTGTCAGTAGATAGAAGGTAGCTCAAACTGGAAGGAAGTAAAGGTGGTAATGAGAAATAGAAAAGTGACAACATGGATTAATGCCCAAAAAGACAAAGTTAAGGGCACTTTGCATGAATATACATAGCATTCACAATAAGGTAGATTATTGAAGAACAGAAATAGATGTAAATGGGTATGATATAGCTGCTACTACACAGACATGGCTGCAGGGTGACCAAGGCTAGGAACTGAATATTTGAAAACAGTCAACATTTTGGAAGGATAGGCAAAAAGAAAAAGAGGTGACGTTGCACTAATAACAAGAAATGGGAGCAGTACATTAGAAGGGAAGATCCTAAATCAGAAGAACACAATGTTGAATCTGAAACAAAACAATAATTTGCTGAAGAAACTCAGCATGTCTGGCAGCATCTGTGGGAAGAAAGCAGAGTTAACGTTTCAAGTCTGATGACTCTTCATCAGAACTACCTCAAGTTTCACCAACAATTTCAGTTTTTGTTTCAGATCTCCAGCATCCACAGTTTTTTTGTTTTATTAAAATGTTGAATCTGTTTGGGCTGAGCTACGAAACAGAAAGGAGCAACAAACATTGGTAGGAATTGTTAATAGGCCACTAAATAGCAATAGTAGTATAGGGTACGGCATGTTTTCTACAGCAGTACGTTGAGGAAACAATTAAAAAGCAGGCTATTTGTATCTATTACTATGTAACAAAAAAGAGTTAATAATCTTGAATATTTAGGGATCAGTGATCGTAATATAATGGAATTTTATATTTTGTTTGAAAGTAAGATAGTTCAATCAGATGCCAGGGAATTAAATTTGAACAAAGGAAATTATGAAGATATGAGGGGTTAATTGGCTGTTGTGGTTTGGGAAAATATATGAAAAGGTATAATGGTACATCAGCAATGCATAGTTATGAAACAATTATTGTATTTTCCAACAAACTTATTCTTCTTTAAGGCACAAAAACCTAAAAATCATCAGTCAACTGCAGCAAACAAAGGAAGTTAAACACTATAGAAGATTAAAATAAATGGCTTACTAGATGGCATAAACAGAAAATGCCCTAAGATTTAGGAGAACATTAAAAAACATTAAAGGGAAAGCAATGGCCTAGTGGTATTATCACTAGATTATTAATCCAGAAATTAAGCTAATGTTCTGGGGACACAGGTTCAAATCCTGCTATGGAATTTGAATTCAATAAGATTATTTGGAATCAAGAATCTACTGAAGGCTATGAAACCATTGTCGATTGTCAGAAAAACCTATCTGGTTCACTACTGCCCTTCAGGGAAGGAAATCTGCCATTCTCATCTGGTCTCGCCTACATGTAATTCCAGGCTCTCAGCAATGTGGTTGACTCTCAACTACCCTCTGAAATGGCCTAGCAAGCCATTCAGTTGTATCAATTGCGAAAAAGTCTCAACAAAGAAATGAAACCGGGCGGACCACCTGACATCACCCTAGACACTGGAATAGACCAAAATAGCCTGTCAACCCTGCAGAGTCCTTACTAACATCTGGGGTTAGTGCCAAAACTGAGAAAGCTGTCTCACAAACTTGTCAAGTAACAGCCTGACATTGTCTCTAACATATGATTCCATAAGTATGACTACGTTCCAGACACCACCATCCCAGGATATGTCCTGTCCCACCAGCAGGACAGACACAGCAGAGGTGGTAGTGCAGTAGCATACGATCAGGAGGGAGTTGTCCTTGGAGTCCTCAAAATTGATTCCGGAGACCTCAAAATTGATTCTGGAACCCATGAAGTCTCATGGCTTCAGGTTAAACATGGGCAAGGAAACCTCCTGCTGATTAACATGTACCATCCTCCCTTGGCTGATGAATTGGTACTCCTCCATGATAAACAACATTTTGAGGAAGCACTGAGGATGGCAAGGGCAGAAAATATATTCTGGACAGGGAATTTCGATGCCGGCCAGTGAGAATGGCTCAGCAGCAATACTACTGATTGGCGCTGGTCGGGTCCTAAAGGACATAGCTACTAGGCTATGTCTAGAGTGTCTGGGGAGGGAACCATCAAGAGGGAAGAACATACAATCTGCTAGCTGTAGAAGCATCTGTCCACGATAGTTTCAGTAGGGGTGACCACCAAATAGTCCTTCTGAGATGAAATTCCACCTTCACATTGAGAATACCCTCCATTGTGGTGTGTGTCATTATTACTGCGCTAAATGGGACAGAATTCAATCAGATTGAACAATAAAAGACTGGGCATCCATGAGGCGCTGTGGGCCATCAATAGCAGCAGGGTTGTACTCAAGCACAATCTGTAACCTCATGACCCAATATATCCCTCACTCAACTATTACTATCAAGCCGAGGGATCAACCCTGGTTCAATGTGGGGTACTGGTGAGCATGCCAGATGCAGCAGCAGGCATATCTAAAAATGTAGTATCAAACAGGACTACTTGCAAAACAGCATAAGCAGCAAGTGATTGACAGAGCTGAGCAATCCCAAAACCAATGAAACAGATCTAAGCTCTGCAGTCCTGCCAAACCCAGTTGTGAATGATGGTAGAAATTAAACAACTCTCTCTCTATAGAGGAGGAGAAAGCACCTTAAATATCCCTGTGATGTGACTGTTTCTTTAAAAGGGGAGTTCTGTGCTGTTTCTCTTGCAGAGGGTTGTTCATACAGTGCTGCCAAAATGTCTCCTTCAAACAAACAGTTGAGTTTTTCCCGGATGTCTTTTTTTAACTGAGACAAAAGGATCATGAGTGGGCGTGTTCAGGGCTCAGACAGACCTAGGAAGGTTTTTAGTTTTGCTTTCAGTTGAAGGTTTAGTTGAAGATTTCTGCTGGCTGCTGAGCTAAAAGCTTGAGTTCCCGACTGCTAGAGTGAAGTCTTAGACAATGAGGCTTCCTCTTAAAAATCCAAAGGGGCAGATCGTTTCTTTCTTCTAGACTAGAGAGAGACAACACGTGAGAATCATAACTGTTTTGCTGAATTGCATTTTTGCCAAAGGGTGTGTTTATGAGATGCTGCCTATATTGGAACAGTTGAGGATAAGTGGTTAAATAATACATTATCTGGTTAAGTATTTCAATAGGTTTAAAGTTATGCCAATTCTTTTTTTGTAGGAATAAAGTGTGTCTTGATTAAAGCCTATTCAAATTAAAACCTATTAAAGCCTAAAGACCATTCAAATCACATCTGGAACAGAGCACCTTACATTTGCCTTTAAATAAAAATAAAGGTTAGGGTCTAGGGTATCTCCTTATAATACTTTGGCCACAAGGAGGGGCTGTCAGTCTGGTCTGGTCCATAACAATCCCCATCCACAATGATGGAAGAGACCACATCAGTGCAAAAGATAAGGCTGAAGTAATCACAGCAATCTTCAGTCATAAGTGCAAAGTAGGTGATCCATCTCAGCCTCCTCTAGTGGTCTCCAGCATTATAGTCTTCAGCCAATTTGATTCACTTCACGTGATATCAAGAAATGGTTGGAGGCACTGATGCTGCAAAGGTTATGGGCCCTGACAACATTCTAGCAATATTACTGAAGACCTGTAATCCAGAATTTGTTGCTACTCTAGCCAAACACTTCTAGTACAATTACAATACTGGCATCTATCTGGCAATGTAGAAAATTATCTAGCTATGTCCTGTGCACAAAAAGAAGACAAATCCAACCCGGCCAATTACCGGCCCATCAGTCTACTCTCGATCATCAGTAAAGTGATGGAAAGTGTCATCAACAGTGCTATCAAGCAGCACTTGCTCAGCAATAACTTGCTCAGTGATGCCTAGTTTGGACTCTGCCAGGGTCACACAGCCCCTCACCTCATCACAGCCTTGGTTCAAACATGGACAAAAGAGCTAAATTCCAGAGGTGAGGTGAGAGTGACAGCCTTGACATCAAGGCCACATTTGTTCGAGTGTAGCATCAAGGAGCCCTAGCAAAACTGGGATCGATAGGCATGAAGGGGCAAATGCTTCGCTGGTTCGAATCATAGCTGGCAGATAGGAAGATAGTTTTGGTTGTTGGAGGTCAGTCATCTCAGCTCCAGCACATCTCTGCAGGAGTTCCTCAGGGTAGTGTCCTAGGTCCAACCATCTTCAG